AACTCACTTACACTATTAAGCGGCTGTGTTATGAACATGCAAAACGGTATCGCACGCGTGCTACAGTGGTAAATTTATTCATCGCACAGACCAGTTTTTTAATAGCACGTGCGACATATATGTCGCACTGTACAGCCCTGATAACACAGTAGCGGTGCGTCTCGTAGGCTAGACTAACAAAACATTCAAATGCAACAACGTCACTTACATCATCACCGCATCTCGCGCGCCACTGAGAAGAAGGTGTACCGTCGATAAATATCGATGCCATTTTATTGCCCAGGCCTATATTAACGTGTACTTTTTTTTCCTCAAAGACCAGGCCCAGAGTCCAGGCGGGAAGCCTGTTTACCCAGGAGCCCCAGGAAAGATCACTTCGGTCTCGACGGGTAACCTCTGCCCTGATGTGAGTACACACAATCATCGGCACCTCTAAGATGAATGTTGCACGTGTGTGCCGAAACTCTCTTTCCCTAGTGAATTAAGAGTGTTTCTAGCACTGCTATTTAGCAACACTGGCATTGGCTCTACAGTGCAACCTGTGTTGTCTAACTCATTTTTAAAGGATTAAGTGAATCAGTGGAAAAAGGTCAACTGATTCCAGTACAAATGATTCTTATGAGCTGTTTTTTTTTAACGATTCAAAAGTATACCTCATGAAAAGTACAGATCAAGGCATGAGTTGGAAACATACAGTACAGTGTGAAAAGTACAGTCCAACCAGTTCCTGAACAAATGAGTCTTTTGACTTGATTCTTCTTGGCAAATTAAAAACCTACCATGTGAAAAGTATAGTCCAACCGATTCCCAAACAAATGAGTCTTATGACTTGATTCTTTTTTTGTCAAATCAAAACATACAGCATGACCAGTATAGTTTAACCAGTTCCTAAACAAATGATAATTTTTTTAATTAATTAAAAACATACCATGTGATAAGTACAGTCCCGTCGATTCTCAAGCAAACGAATCTTATGAGTTGATTCCTTATTTGCTGAATCAGAATCATACAGCATGGCCAGTGTAGTTTAATCGATTCACAAACAAATTACTCTTATGAGCTGGTTCTTTTTAACGATTCAAAAAAAAATACTGTATGAAAAGTATAGTTCAACCACTTTCCAAATGGATGAGTCTTATGAGTTGATTCTTTTTAGTGAATCAAAGCATACACCATGACTAGTGTAGTTTAACAAGTTCTTAAGCAAATTACTCTTACGAGCTGGTTCTTTTTAGTAAATCAATGAAATACTTACGTAGAATTTAATAAATTCCATACGATTCCGAATAAGTGCGAATAAGTGGCTACTTCAGCTATATTGAAGCTATTTTTGAGGACAATAACAGCAACCTACACTCTATAACTGAATTGAAAACATAAATAGCTGTGTTTGACTAAAAATATATTTTGTTTGAAAAAAGAGGACGTAAGATTGCTTCACTGGACTTCTGGGAACACTGTTGTGTGACCTCAACAAATTGCAATGAACCTTTTGAACCAACCCTAAAGTGAATCGTAGTGTTTTGTCATGCTACCTAGTTAATTGGAAAAATTACTCATTGCTAGAGAAGCTAAACGATTTTGTAAACTGCTGAGCTAGTGACACACCACTGAAATATGTAGATAAGTTAGTAGTGCCACCTCTTTTATGTGTTACTACTTTATATCCAGAAGCACATGAGAATAGTTAATGCTAAAATGTGTTGCACTTTCTTGTAATGTAGTTGGGTCTTCTTCAATGAAGCCTCCTCTGGTTTTAATCAAATCACCAGAAACTCTCAAATCCAAACACACACCAGAACATGTTTTTTCTTTCTGAAACCACAGCCAAATAGAAGCCTAATAAAAACTAATTCGTGAATCTTTGTTGTGTTCTTGTTGTAATTAATCCTAATCATGTCTGTAACCACCATCTGATTGGCTAATCAGTCTTTGATCCACATTCCTTGATTCTCTTTGATTTATACACATTCTGTTCATGCAAACTCTTATACTAGTTTCTGTAATCAATAATAATGCTCTAAAAAGAGATGGAAAATTAATCTAGACTGTCACAGCTCAGACTAATCTGTCTTTACCCTGTTTGTCCCACAGGAGGAGCCCTCTCCTCCCCATCCAGAGGCGTATCCCATCCCCACTCAGACATACCCAAGGGAATACTTCACCTTCCCAGCCTCCAAATCTCAGGATAGGATGGGCCCTGGCCAGCCCTGGCAAAACAATGAACCGGAGCCTCTCCCACTTATGGATAACCACTCGAACAACAGCATGGCTAATCAGGTTAGCCTTTTTAGGAAGAGAAAGCTGTGAAGAAAGAGAGAGTGCTGTGTGGTGTCCTGGTGCCATAGTGGTATCATGACTCAAAACACTGGCAGTACCACAGTATTTTTCAACACTAGCACACTAACTGTACATTATTTAATGTTTGTTTGTTTATTTATTTATTGGTAAGATAATGTATAGTATCCTATATTGTTATAATGAACACTACCATTTTAAAAATTGAGATCAGTAAGATTATTTTGAAAGAAATTAATACTTGTATTCAGCAAGGATGCACTAAATTGATCAAAAGTGACAGTAAAGACCTTTATAATGTTACAAAAGATTTATATTTCATATAAATGCTGCTCTTTTGAAGTTTATATTCATCAAAGAATCTCAAAAACATGAATCATGAATCTTGAAAATATACTGAAGACTGAAGGAAAGGCTGCTGAAAATTCAGCTTAGCATCACAGGAGTAAATTGGTTTAAGACATATTAAAATAGAAAACAGTTGCATTAAATTGTAATATTTCACAATATTACCGTTTTTACTATATTTTTGATAAAGTAAATGCAGCCTAAGATTAGCACGTCGTAAGCCTAAGATACTTCTTTTAAGAACATCAAAAAAAAGAAAAAGAAAAATACAGACTGCAAGCTTTTTTATCTGTAGTGTATATTGTTGCTTTCTAAAGGCCAGTTCACACCGCACCGACAAACGCCAACAGACACGTTGGCCGCTGGATTTAGAATTTTATGAAAAATAACTGTCATGTTCACACTGCCCCAACAGACACCAACAGACTTCAAGTCAGGGAGAGTTAACTAGGGGGGGAAATGAATGATCTTGTAACAACAATCAAAATGATACTGTTATTGATGTCTTTGGTAATATTGTAAGGCAGTTTTATTATAATAATAATATATTGTCAAATAAATTTCCGTTGTGAAATTTCCCAAGCGCTGTAGCGATATCTGATCGCATTCCCCCTCGCGTTGCGGTTGGTATACTCGGCCACACCCACCGCATAAAGCTGGCCTCTCCTTCCAAAGATCCAAAAACTGTTCCTCTTTCTGGTTTGTCCAGAAACCTGCCATTTTTAAAGTTATTTTCCTAAGCGCGCCCAGCACCTACTTGCAGTCTTGCCTCGTTGTCATGGCATCGGTTCGTGGCCAGGTCAGATTACGTCAGAGTTTGTTGTCGTTTGTTGGAAAATCATATCACACTGCTCAGACATTCCACGACCCAACAAACGCCGATTAAACATGTTCAGTCGGGTTAAAACCAACTCCGACCAACGCCAACAAACGCCGACAGGGGTAACACACTGATCCAACAAACTCCGACAGACTAGTCTGTTGGCGTTTGTCGGTGCGGTGTGAATTGGCCTTAATATGCTTTGCCAAAATGACAGTTTAAAAATCAGTTATTGTTCAAAAATCAGTTATCAGTTGTTGTTTTTTTTTCAGATTTATTTATTTTATTTTATTTTTTATTTAGTTTAATTTTTTTAATTTAGTTTAATTTTGCATTATCTAACTAGTAACTGAAATTATATTGAGCATACCTAAGGACAGCATCCTTTAAATGTGCTTTTCAAATGAAAAAAAAAAAAAAAAAAAATCTAACATTTTGTCATTTGAGATTATAACATTTATCATATTTATTTTTCTAGTTTTACTTTGGTATATCTATTAAATTTGGGCCTACTTTTTCATGTGTAATTCCCATGTAGGCCCAATTTAAATTTGTCTGCAAAACAAATTTTATGCATTACTTTACTAACTTAAGGCTATGAGCAACATTAATGTTACATATATATCACATTTTTGCATAAATATGAGTCTCACTGCTGTGTCATTGTGTCCTGCTAGCGGGTGGCGCGCTCTCAGGAGGAGCTGTGCGAGATGCCGGGCGGGTACCCAGGTGAACGCCTGCACCAGGAAGACCTGTTGCACCTGCAGCAGCAGCAGCAGCGTGATGCCGAGTACCAACGAGGCAGTGGGGAGCACTGGAACCACCAGATGTCCTCCTCGGTGGAGTCCAGCACCTCCAGCCAAGAGCACCTCAACTACTCGTCGTCTTCCGGCTCCAGGATCCAAGGCAACCACAAGAGCGGCCCTGGCCGCTGGAAGACCCCGATAGCACCCCACTCCGGCCTTCCGCTTCCTCCACCGCCCTCTATTACACAGCAACAGGCAGCAGCCGCTGCAGCCACGGTTGAACGCAAGAAACGCGAGGAGCAACAGCGCTGGTATGAGAAGGAAAAAGCCCGGCTTGAAGAGGAGCGAGAGAGGAAGAGAAGAGACCAGGAGAGGAAGCTGGTGCAGATTCGCAACCCTCCCGGCCCAGTCATGCACAACAACCAGCACGGCCCATTGCCACCCGCCCCTCAGCACCAACAGATGCCACATCCACAGCCCCCCATGCAGGTGCCCCAACCGTACCTTCCCCCAGTCCAGCTGCCCCAACTGCCACAACTCGCCCGACCAGACAAGCTATCCAGCCTTCCCCGCCAGCCGCCACAGGACACAGTAATTCGTGACCTCTTGCCCCAGCAGCAGCCACGCACCATCGAAAGACGTGACCTGCAATACCTCACCATCAGCAAAGAGGAGCTGTCCGCCAGCGACAGCCTATCGCCCGACCCCTGGAAGAGGGATGCCCGAGAGAAACTGGAGAAGCAGCAGCAGCTTCACATCGTGGACCTTCTAGACAAGGAGATCCAGGAGCTTCAGGCCAAACCTGAACGCACGGCTGAGGAGAACGACCGTCTGCGCAAACTCATGCTGGAGTGGCAGTTCCAGAAGAGACTGCAGGAGTCCAAGCAGAACGAGGAGGATGAGGAGGAGGAGGATGACGAAGATGTAGACACCACGCTAATTATGCAGAGACTGGAGGCTGAGAAGAGAGCACGGGTGAGCAGACATGGGAAGTGGGATAGCTAGATTTTAATGTGTGGATATAAATAGTAAAAAGTCAACATGAAATCAAACTACCCACATTTCCTTTCTTAATGCAAGGTTTTGGTCTAATTGGGAATGATTTATACGTAAAAGTCTTTGTAAACTTATTCCACATCTGGAACCACCCAGTAACTAATCTACAAATGGTATAGTAGTTGTCACTGCATATTAAGCTATAGTAAAATATACAATTTTTGCTAATTGCTGATTGCTGTAATGTGAGATTTAATGGTAGTGCAATACACAGTGGTTCCAACGACAAAACATTTAAAATTGTGATTTCCAGGCCAGAAAAATTCAGTGAAATTAAAAACATCTTAGTCATCTTTAAGTTTATGTTTAAATTGTCCTAGTTATGCTCAGGTCCAAAGTATTTTGTAAGGAAAAACTGCACTGTGAGTGCATTTGCTTATTTAGGAATGACAAGGAAAATTTGATTGGAATATTTGATTGGAAAATAATAGAAATTCATTGGTAAAAGAGGTGGGAACCTTGAATAAAGTTTACAGCAAATGAGATCCACTACTGTTCAAAAGTTTGGGATCTGGTCCCCCCCCCCACCTTTTCTTTTATTCTTGGAAAAAGTCCTGTATACTCTCTAAGGCTGCATTTATTTGATCGGTAAAATCGGTAAAAAAAATTTAAAAAAAGTCGCTTTTGATCAATTTAATGCATCCTTGCTGAACTAAAATATTTATTTCTTTAAAACCCCAAAATTTTAAATGGTAGTGTACGTCAAGATTGCATTTTGATATGTGGCACCCACTATTTTCAGTCAAATATGTCTTATCCTTATGGATACAATCAAGTAAAATGGGTTGTAATGCCTATCATGTTGACTTTTAAGTGTTAGCTTGATGATTGGTTTGGTAATGCACTTTTTCCCCACGCTTACACAGCCGATTGAGTATTAATTTTGTTTTTCAACTGCTTTGGAAAGACTCAAAAGATTCAGGAGATTTTCAAAACAACTAGTCCTACTTGAGTACACTTGAATTTTCCTGTTGCTGCACAGATGGAATCGAAGTTAGTTGTAAACTTCTGCAATGCTGATTGAAGTCAAGTGTAGGTCTTTTTTTTTTTTTTTTATGTTTGTAGACTTTTGCGTTACGTTTGAATCCGCAGTCAGCAGCAGGACAGACTGGTGATGGAATCATTAACAACAAACCTGGGATTCTCTGCGTGATGCTTTAGTCGCCGCTGTTATAATGAATGTTTTGCCATGTGCTCCTGCAACATGCCTGTCATTGCTTTTCCATGCTGCACTGCTGATTGTATATATATGCTGCGCTGACGGAGGGGAGGAGCAGGGCTTTCCAATGCCAAGCACTGGACCCGATTCCACTGCTTGCACCAGCATCAACCTGCCTCGTCCAGATCAGTACATCTCTCCTGATCTCATCTGCCATTTAAAATGTAATATTCATTTAACTTCTAAAATAAATCAGCGATGGAATCATTTCTGAGCTGTAGCTACTGGCTAACCAACATCTTAGGATCAGAATCAGGAGCATTTGAAATGTGCTAACAGTTTCTAACAAGACATGACCATATTTTTTTTTACATGCAAGGCCTTTTCAGGCACATATTAAGTCTCGTGAAGAATTAACACTTGATTTAACATTGATTTTGGTAGTAACTAGGGTTGGGTGATACAAAAATATGTAAATACAATTAATTACTTTTTTTAAAATAATCACATTTTATTTCTATAGCACATTTATTAAAATGAAAACAAAAGCAGGCACATCACTGAATATTGTAATAACACAAAAATATTGATAATGAAGAAGTCAGCACACCTAGACTCCAAAAATACATAAAAATTAAAAAATTAAATATAAAAATGTATTTTATTGCACATTTGTTGAAATAATAAAATTAAAAACATATTAATTATATATATATATATATATATATATAGAATGAATAACCTTTTAATAATATATTTTATAAAACTTTAACATTTTTGAGTAATGACTAACAAATCATTGAAATGTACCTTTCAAATTAACTGATTTGTTGTCATTTTTAGGATGCATAATGGCTAAATGTGTTAAATATTCAAATTTGCCAATTGATTTAATATCTCCAAAAATGTGATGATGTAAAATAAATATTAGATATATCACCCAGCCCTTTTAGTTACTAAAGGCTTAATCTGTGTCCAGAAAACAGTCTGCAATGAGCCTCTAATGTCAAAGCATGCGAGTTTAGTGCAGTTTAATTCAGGCTCTTGACTTCTTGGTGGGCTGGCGTGTGTGCAGCATTTCCAAACAGCTTCCTTGTGCTTTCCAAGTCTGAGTCTTTCAGTGCTAGCACAAACTTCAGCCCCCACTAACGTTCTTTCCTCCAACACCTGCCATAGCAGCTGTAATGCGAAGCATAGCGTCCACCTGAGAGTCTGCTGTGTGTAGCACACTGCTGGAAGCTGCCTTTGATATCGCTCCACCTCTGAGGAGTTGGCAGGTCGAGCCGTCTAAGGGAAGGTCAACACAATCCCGTGTGTTTGAAGGAAAAATCTTGCCAGTGCTTCAGTGGGGGGGACGTGGAATGATGGGGAAATTCCTCACCAGCTGAAGTGTTTGTGGAAGGGAAGTAGACCGCTGGCGCTAATCAGACCCATACTGCCCTGGAATGTTCCTGGCAGCACATCACTGCGTCCCGGCCCACTGCGCCAATGTTTTTTATTTATTTATTTATTTTACTTTTATCTTCTCGAAAACCCCTCCTTTTCTTTATTTCTTAATTCTTTTTTTATTCTCTCTCACCCAACCCTTTGGTTGCTCTGTATGTTTTTGTTTCTCCTGCAGCAGACTGCTGTTCCAGCAATCTCTGTACTAGACTTGGTATGTTCTTTATGCTCTTTGCCTCTCTTCCTGTTTCGGCTCCACCTGTGTCTCCTCTTGTTCACTACCTCCCTTTCTTCATTTGGCCGTGGTAGCTCCTTTACCCATGGGTATTATTTAGAGAGAGATGTACCACTTTTTCAAGCATGGGACACCATCTTGGGGACTCCATCTTGGGATGTTCATTATGCTCCACTGGAAAACTGCTGCGTTAGAACAATATCTAAACGTAAAGATGAGCTGAATGGATCTGTAAGGAAAGGCATCACAGAAAATACATTTTTAAAGCTGAAGTTTGTACTTTCTAAGCCAGTGTCACCAAATGGAATAAATAGTTTCCATCTTCCATTAGTCAGGCGAACAGTTAGTCCTGACCTCAAGCTCATGCCATTGGTTGAGGTTGAAAAAAATGATACTTTCTAGAGAAATGAGCCTACATACAAGTAATTATTTTTCATTGTTAAAATAATTAAGATGATTAAATATTGAGATAACTAAAATAAGTTAGACTCATCTCTTTGTCTTAAATGATTTAAATAATTATTCTTAATTATAAAATAAGAAAAAGTATATAAAAATAAAAATATAAAAAAAGTTACTCACCCTTCATGTTTCTTAATAATAATTCTTAATTTTTTTTTTATTTAAGGTAATTAAAATAATTTAGTCACCCCTCATTTTCTTAAAAAATAGTTTAAATACTTACATTTAAATTATCTTAATTATTTAAATAATTAAGATAGATAAGTATTAAGATATTTAAAATAATTTGGATTCATCCCTTATATGGTTTATGTATTTATATATTTATTTAAAAAGCAAAAATCTGGGTTACAGTGATGTGTTTACAATAGAAATGAATGAGTCCATTTTATATGAATGCTGGTTAAAAGCAGGAATATTAAGCTTATAGTTTAATAAGGTGACTTCATTTCCTAAGTTAAAACTTCTGTATTATTTTATTTGTAAAGTTGTTCTTTTCATTTTTATGATCACTTTCGGGTTCATGGAGTTGTTTTCATGGTAACAAAATTGTAAAATTGGATATAAATTAACAAAAAAGGTTAAATGTTTTTTTCCAGCATTTTAACGCCCCATTCACTTCCATTTTAAATGTCTCACTGTAACCCAGGTTTTTGAAATAGAGCTACTAGTTAAAACTAATTTTAGTGATACTCGGCATTATGCCATGAATGCTGTATTTATTATTCCTTTAATATATATATATATATATATAAAAACACTTCAGCTTTAAATGTGCACAGGACAGCGACCTTGTGAATATGAACATTTGCTCCTAGAAAACCAGCAAATGCATTCCAAAGAAAGCTTTGGAAGCTCTTTTTCTTCTTGGAGAACATGATGAAGCTCTGCTGGTTTGGCAGCCATTGTTTCAGTGCAGTGTCATCATGAGGAGTGGGTTGGCGCATGCTTTCTTCCAGCCCGGTCTCTCCGGCCCTGAGCTTGCTTGCATGTGGGCCTCATTTCTGTGCCATGATCACCATTCCTGTTTCTTCCTCTACTCCACTCATCACTGCTCTCTGCGTGTCTGTATTGACCCTGGCTCTTTGCCGTTCATTTACTCTGCGTTTCTCCATGGTTTTCTGTGCTGGGTTTCCTCTTCCCTTATCCTGACTACTGGACACGTCTCTGTTTATGTCTGCTTCCTTCTGATTTTGGAGGGAAAAGGTGTATGGCCGTGATTTGTATTTCCTTACCTGTCGAGAATTGTATATGGATTACCTTTTGAATGATTTTCTGTAGATGTGAAGAAGGTTGCAAGTTGCAATTCTGTCAGTAAGTTGTTTTGCATGCAGCTGTGTATGTGCATGTGATTCTGTGTGTGATGGTGTGCAGTGCACGATGCCTCTCATCACAGGGGCCACATTGACAAATTTACTGGTGTGATAGAAACTCAACAGAACACATTTTTACAAATCACCACAGCAGGCTAGTTTGAATAAGATTTTGTACCAGAAAGACTTACAGTCCTCAGGTTGGCCATTGAAAATTGTTTGCTAATCTAGTCTAATCTAGGTTACCATTTTAAAATCAAACATTAAATTAAACATTTAAAATATTCAATTTTTTTAAATGTAATATTGGGTTTAATGTTAGGTTTGAATATAGGTTTACACTACTGTTCAAAAGTTTTGGGTTTGTTACTTATGTTTATGTTTGATCAAAAATACAGTAAAAACATCAATATTGTGGAATATTATTTAAATTTAAAATAAACTGGTCTATTTTAATGTAATTTAAAATGTGATTTATTCCTGTGATGGTAAAGCGGAATTTTCAGTAACATCACTTTCTATAGTGTCACATGATCCTTCAGAAATCATTCTGTCATTCAGAAATGATTTGCTGATTTGGTGAACAAGAAACATTTATTATTATCAATGTTGAAAACAGTTGTGCTGCTTAATGTTTTTGTTGAAACAGTGCTATATTTTTTCAGGATATTTTGAATAGAAAGTTCAAAAGAACAGCATTTATTTGAAGAATAGAACTATTTTGTAACAATAAAAAAATTCTTTATTGTCACTTTTGATTAATTTAATGCATCCCTGCTTAACAAAAGTATTAATTTGTTAAAAATAAAACAAAATCTTACAGACCCCAAACTTTTGAATGGTAGTGTAAGTTTACGTTTTTCTGGGTTAGTTTTACATTTAAGGTTAATATATCAGTAGTTTTACAACTAGGGTTGAAATTGACATCAACATTAGTTATTAGATTTCTAACAGTCATAAATTTAATTTAGGATCATTTTAATTTCAGATCAGTCATTTATGTTTAGGACCATGAATTGCAGTCAGTCCAATCCATCATCTCTGTGGTCCAGTGTTTTTCGACTAACCCTGGTTATGCATTGTGCACCTCAGCTGCAGGACGAGGAGCGACGACGGAAACAGCAGTTGGAGGAAATCCGTAAGCGTGAGGCAGAAGAGCGAGCCAAACAGGAGGAGGAGAGACGCTGGAGAGAGGAGGAGAGAGCCAGACGAGAGACCGAGGAGAAGGTATTGAGATCGGAACGGACCAGCGACAACTAGGAACTTCTATAAGTAGTTAAATGCAATAAAGATGATTTTGATGACAAAGGACTTTAAAGTCAAGAAATAAGTTTTTATGTAATATGCAAATTGCAGATACGTTTTAGCACTTCTTATGAGATGCAGATTATCTTTTCCTTTTTTTGTCCACTCAACCAGGCCTTAAATGCAAGTCACGACAACAGCAGATAGATTTGAATGTCCCAGACCTGTTCTCTTGCTATTGATTAGTCAGGTTAATTATAGTGAGATCTTCTTGCTTTTGTTTTGGGGCAAATTCCCAAAACAATATCTGTACCCATATGCAGTAAATCGATTTTTGGCATAATTTCCTGATAGAGGCGTATGTGATCAGCCTTATTTATTCATGCTAACGTCAAGCTTTTTCAAGGTTTCACCCGATTTCCATGTGGATGGTAAGTGGGTGTGATTGGAGACAGCAGCTGATATTTAATGTGTCAGACTGTACAAGATCACAGCCCCTTGTGCTTAATTTAAAATAATGTGTATCTATGTATATATATATATATATATATATATATATATAGTACTGTATGTGCTGATAATAATAAGGTTAACAGCAGTTTTGGAGTTAGTAATGATCCGTTAACTGTCAGAGGCTAAATTAAGTTTGTTTAACGCCCATGTGTTAGACTTTTGGAATGCCTCAGCGGGTCATCAGTTTACCAGTGGTCTGAATTTACATTCATACATCTAAAATGTGACCAAAACATTGTCCCACTATGTGACCATCCAGTTTTATTTGTGTCTGTGTGCGTCATTTTCAGACCACTGGTAATTTTAGAGCCCATTTGTGATGTCCAACTGCATGTCTTCACAACATCTCCTCTCTTGTGTTTGTGATGTATCCCCATCCCCTTCTAAGAAACGCATGAGAGTCACATGTCAGATCTTTACACAACACTCCAGCATTTTGTTGGGAGACCATTGCCATTCCATACAACATTGCTTGGAAGTGCTGTTGGAAATGGGCCCGCCTTGGGTTTTGTGGAGGCCGTCCCAGATTGAACTAGCTCATGTGTGTTTTGCCTCCACATGCTCTCATAAGAGACATTCCCACCACCGCATACTAACCCAGGGTATCCATGCACAGAGACCAGAGCAGCCAGCCACTGGGTGTTTTTCTCCAAATGCCAAGCAGACCTTCAACTGGAGCTTGTAACAGTAACATACGCTCCAGTTAGCTCTGTTTTATTCCAGTTTGAACTAAGCGTATTTGTCAACTGTAGTAACTTGTTCCTCTTTAGCACCATCTGGTGTGCTTACAGTCGAAGTCAAGTCTTACACAGTGTTTGCACTGCAAGCAAGCAGCACAGTGCAACTAAACTAGATTGCATTCATACAATTAGCATTTATAAAGAACGTTTAATCAGTGGATTTAAATCTTCAAAGGAGTTTTTTAGGTGTTTGTAATCTGTACATAATTACTTTTTGACGCACAGAAGTTTTTGAGACACTGCCACTGTTTTTATGTTGTTGTTTTTTTCTGTACAAGTGGATGCTGACCATAGTAATATATTAATTAATATTGATAAATAATATTTATATTAATAAAGATTAATAAAGATTCTAAATTAAATATTTAATTACATTAGAAATTGTATAGTTTCTCAAATTTTATAAAATGTTTCATTAAATGTATTTTTTAATGTCATATTTAAAAAAAAAAGTTTTTTTTACAACTTTTTCCTGACAACAGACTATTTCTATTATCAACTATTTCAGATGAACTCACCTCTGAATTGAACAGTAAAACAAAAAAAAGTCCCTTTTCATGTCACTCAAAAAATGACATTTCCTATAGAAATGATTGTGGACCATTTAATATATGAATTCATATAATTATATTAATATGATTCATTCATTGATTCATATATTCTATTAATTATAGTAAAATATTAATTTAACATTTTGTAAATATTTAAATGTTTTATTGAATATTCACTTTATCAAACATTTAGATTGCTCACATTTCTTTAAAAAATAAATAAATGCATTTTAAATTTTGATTAAAATTTGTACCTTTTCTCCCCCCTCACACAGGCCTGTTTCAGATAAAACCACCCTGAATGGAATGTGTGAAAAAAAAATAAATGATTGTTTGCTTTTCATGTCATTCAGCCTGACATTTCCTGGCCAGAATAAGCTGCAAAGTGGACTGAATTTGCGAAAACCACTTGCATTATAATCAACAAAACTCTCTATGCTACAAGCGGCACTTCAGTATAGACAGCGCTGTTGATTTCCGTCTAGTTTGCGACGTTGCTTGCTTGCAGTGTAGCCATGTTAAAAATAAAACCAATGGCTTACTTTCCCCAACATGCAGGAGTCCGTTTTAGCTACTCGATTCACTCAGAAGCACATTACATCATATCAGCAAACACATTTCTTCTACTACAATGTAGCTGTACTACATTGGTGCATCCATTAGCCAGAACAGCGTTAGCTTTGACCCAGGCCTCGCAGCGGCACGGGCTAGCATAGGCAGCTCTAACCAGCTCTTCCCATGTTCCCCCCTTCAGAGGAGACAGGAGGAAGAGTACTACACCCGCCTGGAGGCAGAGCGGCGCCGGCAGCACGAGGAAGCCGAGCGCAAGCTGCTGACGCCAGACGAGCCTGGTCTGTACAGACCCCCCCTACCCCGGGACTACCAGCCCCCTTCTCCTGCAAGCACCCCTGCCAC